GAAAGTGTGGAAGAGGCGGATGAGGAGGAGGAGGAGGAGGAGAACTGACCCAGGATGTATCGACGATTCTGCAAGACGCCATCAGTCCAGACGCCCGTCTACACGGGTACCTGCGAGGGCGCGGGCCTTATTTTACTTATTAACGTAAGGCTGGCACCTAAGAAGCGGCCTCCTTCTACGTAAGAAGCTTTCCCCCTCCCCCTGCAGACGACCCGCATGGTAAGAATGGGCAACCTTCCCAAGGGTACCCTTGCATCCTTCCCTCCTCGGTCCATCCTTGGCAACTTTCGTTGACCGCGCCCCGCTCGAAAAGCTTCGAGATGGCCTTCCAAAGGCCGTTGCGTCCTTACCGCGCATCCTTACGACACAGGCCGACTGTACCCCCATCCTGCGCGCCGACAAGAAAGGTGGTGTTACCTCGTCCTCCTCCTCCTCCCGTTCCTCCTCCTCCTCCCGTTCCTCCTCCTCCCCTCCTCCTCCTCCTCGGCCCCCTCCTCCCCCTCCCCCTCCCCCTCCCCTCCTCCTCCTCCTCCTCCTCCTCTCCTACTACTACTACTACTACTACTACTACTACTACTACTACTACTACTACTACTACTACTACTACTACTACTACTACTACTACTACTACTACTACTACTACTACTACTACTACTACTACTACTACTACTACTCCAAGAAAGGTGAGTACGCGCGGAGTGCGACGAGGTGGGGTCATAGGAAGGTCGGGGGAGTGCCCAGCGACAGCCCCCCTCCCGCTCTTGAGAGAGGGGAGCCCCGCGCTTCGTCCGTTAAAAAAAGTGCGGCACCTGCTGGGTCCTCTGGTCATCCAACATCGGCGGCGAGCGAGGGGGATGGGGGGGGGGAATGAGGAGGAGACGGCTTTCTCAGGCTTCGTCCGCAAAAAAAAGTGTGGTACCTGCTGGAGCCTCTGGTCATCCAACATCGGCGGCATAGCGAGGGGGAAAAATGAGAAGGAGAGGAAGGCCTTCTCTCCGTCGATCGCAGACATGGGTCAAGGGGGCGGCGTGGATTAGCGACGGGTCCAGTTTCCACTGGACATCGCGGAATTCCCGCCGCCGAGCGAGGCGGCGCCGGCCGCATTGTGCGGAGGGCACTTCCCCCGATCCATGGATGTTGGCGTCCGCGCGTCAAATCCATGGATCGCTAATCCATGTTTGCGCGCCCCCGATTCTCAGAAGGCGGCGGGACTTCTCAGAAGCCCTCGCGCCTTCTCAGAAGTGTTGCTTCTGTCTTCGGGGAAGACTTAGAGAACTTCTCAGCAGGCCAGGGGACTTCCGAACCTTCTGAGAAGGCCGTCTCCTTCTCACTTCCCCCCTCGCTCGCCGCCGACAATACCTTGACATCGCTCGGACTTGTGCGTTTTTCCACGGCGAGGGCCATCGAGGAGCATGTCGGGTCACCCTGCGAAAACTCGCACCAGATCGATGCATACATAGGGAATGGACGTGCGAGCGATGGCGTGTTTCTGGTCATCCAAGATGGCGAAAGTTCCAGGCGGACCCGATTGTGAAAAGGAACCGCCCTCCGTCGGTACAAAAGCTGTACCATGTTGTATGCGGGGCAGTTAAGAAGAATTGCCATCCGCCCGCGTGAATAGTGAAACTGCTACGGCGAGTGCGCGCGGCGCCAAGGCGTGAGCCCCATTTTGAAAACCATTGCTCACCCATCCGTGCAATTGCGTAGTCAGTGGTTCGTGTATGGTCAGTCGGGTGCGCGATGCGCCAAGACGATGCCCCCACGTGAAAAGCCAGTCGACCTCCACCCATGCAGCTGCTGTTTATTGAATCGCTTCGCTCATTCCGCCGGCCCGTGATATGGCATCGCTGGTTTTTGTCTGTGTGTTCGTTGCCCATGTTGCGCTCTTGGGGGCGGGTGTCGTTCGGACGCGTTGCGTGGGGAGTTTTGATGGTGAAGCAGTTCCCTGGGGGTCGTCTCTCGATGGGGCGAAATAGAGTCGTCGTCAAGATGCTTCTTTGGGGGGCCTCTTGGGGTCTGTTGAGAGGCCGTTCGGGGGCGCCTGGGAGACATGTTTGAAGCCTTCTGGGGCTTCTTTTGGGCCTCCTGGGAGTCTCCTGGGGCCTCTTGGCGACATCTTGGGGCCTCTTGGAGGCCTCTTGGGGCCTCTTTGGGACCTCCTGGGCGCCTTCTGGGACGGAGGGCTCCATTTTTGAGTTCTCGGTATCCCTCCTGAGTCCCTCTTGGGCCCGTCTTGGGGCCTCTTGGTCCGTCTTGGGCGGCACTTGGGCCGTCTTGAGGGCTCTCTTGGGTCGTTTCGGCGCCGTCTTGGGAGCTTCGTGGGCCGTCTTGGAGCGGTCTTGGGGGCCTCTTGGGCCGTCTTGGAGCGTCCGGAAGCCGAAAAAGCCAGAACACAAAAAACATCGAAAAAACCAATGAAAATCAACGATTTTGGCCTCTTGGGGCTCTCTTCGGAGGCCTCTTGGAAGGCTCTTGGGGCGTCTTGGAGGCCTCTTGGGCTGTCTTGGGGGCCTTTTGGGCCGTCTTGGGGTCATCTTCGGCGTCTTCGAGCGCTCTTTGGGCGTCTCGGGGGCCTCTTGGGCAGTCTTGGGGGCCTCTTGGGGCACTCTGAGCGCGCTCTGGGGAGCCTGAGAGGCCGCACCCAGAAGGAAAACCATCTCTGAGTAGACTTGGTCGGGCGGCGGTCGGGCGGCGACCGGGCGTTGGTCGGGGTACTTTTCGCCGGGGGACCCCCAGGGGCCGCCCCGCGCGCGCGAACTAGAAATACTGTTAATACTGTTAACCAGTTACCGGAGATCTTAGCACGCCCTGGCCCGTTGGGCCGGCGAATTCCTGACTATCCTGTGGTGTTAGGTCCTCGCCTTGAAGAGATAGCGCCCCGCGTCTCACTCACTCGCTCACCCACTCGCTCACTCACTCACCCACCCACTCACTAACTCACTCATCATATTCCCCCTCCTCCCTCCTCATATCCCTGCTTCTGCCCCCGCATGGCCTCATCGTCGTCAATATCACCATCGTCATCATCATCATCATCATCATCATCATCATCATCATCATCAGCAGCAGCAGCAGCAGCAGCATCATAGCCTCCCCGGCAAAAACCCGGATTTTTCAGGAGGGTGGGTCACTCGTTCAATTGGGGCGCGAGGTGGCATGCAGTGAAGAGCCCCTCCACATGTTGTGGGCCTTGCTGGCATCCAACAGATTCATGGCCACCGTTGCTCATCGGCATCGTTTGCGGCTTATCCAGAGTTATCCGCACGCCCTCCCTCTCAAGAGGGGTCTGGAGATCCTCGGGGCGCTCTTTAGCGCTCACGTCATTAGCTTGACCGTCACGGGCCAGTCTCAGGCGAAGGTTTCGTATGACGGCACGCTGCTGGTGCTGCGCACCTTGATGACAGGCTACGACTTGCACCACCGCGTACCAGTGGCCGACTGCAGTTTCCAAAAGACAGGCCGTCAGACGGAGGAGACAGGACCCTGGCAACGGGACCAACATCTCCACTGGCTGCATGATCGCGGTCAAGCAGGCATGGCTCCTGCGGGTGCATTTCGTGCGTTCGTGGCATCCACCAGAAGCGCTGCAAGGACAGGGTGGGGCACGTCCTTGTCGTTGGCGTGGTCAGTTTGATTTGTGCTTCATATATGTGTACTTGCTTCTCCTTCCCACGGCTGAGGACATCGAAAGACGCTACCAAAACTGACTTCCTGGATTGCCTCATTCTTACGAGAACTTCCAACACGTTATGCCTTTGCTGTGATAATGGATAGAAAGTTTCACGTCGGCCAGGAGCGCTTCAACTCTGAATGGCACCACTCGTGGTCGGGCATTCCGGCGCTGAACACGAGAATCCCAACGGTATACAGTATTGGCACTTGCTGAACCGTCTTGGGATGGCCTTAGTCAACGCTCAGTTTGACGAGGGGTGCGGCCCCGCTTTCTTCAAGGGCCAAAACCGCACGAGGATCGACTAGATCGCGATTGATTCCAAAAGATATTCTGGCACATGTCGCTACATGTCATGTGTGGAGGCGCACGGGCCACAAACATCAGTTGGTTCATCACGCGCACACGAACGTGGACCACGCTCCGCTAGTTGCCGATTTGAATATTCAGAGTTGGCACTGCGCATATCAGAGCCGTCGACGATGGGATTTTGAAAAAGATGATGAATACTGGGGGCCGCGAGAACGACTGCTATTTCGACTTCGCTCGGCGCCCAGACGATTGGGCATCCGAGGGCTCAAACTCTCAGCTTCTGCTGACGGCGTTCGAACAGCATGATGTGGACGGCAGCTGGCATTCAACGAAGTATTGCGATCCGCCTGCGCGGATATGTCCCGAGCTCCCCCTGCCAGGTCGATAGCGGCGGATTCAGAGGGCATTGGAAAAGTCTCTCCGAGGCCCCCGAGGGTGATGCCGTCCGGCTTGAGGCGAAGTCTGTAAGAAGCCAGGCCTGCGCATTTGCAAACTTAAACATCGGGATGTGAGCCAGCGGCGGGAGGGGTTGGCGAGGGTAGTCAATCTTGCCACGCAGGCCTGTGATGGCTGTCTTGCGCGGCAGCTGAATTGGCTTATCGCTGGGGCACGATTAGGTCCCAAGCGCGGGCAATACAGTGCGTTCACAGCCGTGCCTCCGAATGTTCGAGAGTGGGATCAGCACGTGCGTCTTCTTGGCCCCGAGGGGGGCATGGAGGCACCTGTGTGATGTCAAGGCACCGCGTCTGATGCTCACACTGTCGTGGAGTGGGCGCGTCTCTTCTCGCATGATCCTGTGCAGCGCTAGAATCAAGATGTTGCTCCTTGTTGCGGCGGCGGATATCCCGGTCGGTCGTCAAACTCCGCCACGTTTCTTTTGCCGCTCTCCCACAAGTAGCGGGCTCGTCGAGCTTGCGACGGACTCATGTGGGGTTACGTCAGGAGGCCTGTGAAAGCAAAGCTCGCCGAGCAGCGCAGGAATGGTCGGGG